AATATCACATATTCTTTAAATAAAAAAACTAATCATATAATGAAATATAATATTATAAGTTAACAATACAACATGACATTATAATTATATTATTTTTAAATTTAAAAATTAGTTTTTACACTTAATATTTTAAAATTTTTTGCATTCTTAAACTTTTCAAATTATTTTTTAATCTCAAATTTTATTTAAAATTAAATTTAAAGCTTAACATTTAAGGGTCTATGATTTAATATTCTTAAAATACAGGTTTTGTATATAAAATTTATGATTTAATATCTAAGGTTAACGAATATATTTTAAGAGTTTTGTATTTAAGTTTATTATTTATATTATTAAAGTTTTTGAGTTTAGTATTAATTTAAGGTTTAGGATTTAGGGTTTATATTATTAGAGTTTAGGGTTTAATATTTAAATTTTAAGGTGTAGTATTTAGAGTTTTAAGGTTACATTTTTAGAATTTTGGATTTATCATTTAGGATTTAGGTTTCCATTTTAGATCTTAGGATTTAATATAAAGGTTAGGGTTTAAAAGATTTAAATTTACAATTTAATATGAATTGAAAGTTATGATAGTTTTTAAATTAAAAATAGAAATCAATAAACTCAAGGATTAAGATTTATTGATAAGTAAATATCATCTTATAAACCATGTTTATGGTTTAGATTTTAAGACCAATATTTAAAAAAATTAATTTTTTTAAATACACTAAACTATAAAAAGTGCACCTTTAAAATCTTCAAGGGAAGAATTAGTCTCAAGATACTTGAAAAATGATTAATCTCAAGATACCCAAAAGTTGACTTGTAAACACCCTAACAATAATTATCAAAAATAAAAATAAAAATAAAAATAAATGTTATAGGACCTAAAACTGAAAATTATAAAATTACAAAAATTACTAGATCTAAAATTTAAAAGTGAAAAAACTATATGAACCGTAGGTCCCAACTCTGCTTGGGGAAATGTCCGTCCCTACAGCATCACCACGCTGAAATTAAAAAAAAAAAAAAAGAGGCTATCTGGCGGAAAATTTCCCCCTTTGAAATTTCCGGGAAGAAATTAGAGGATCGATTTATCACCTTAACAAGATACAGCGTATCTGCTTTATATAAGAGGCACTTTGATCTTCATTTCCTTCATCGTCCTTTTCATTATCCATTTGACTTCAGCCATACATAGTCGTAATTAATCAGTCTTATTATTCCTCTGCTTAGCTGTTTTACTGTATTCAATATTACGTGTTTCGTCTTGCAGATCGCCATGGATGAGAGAATGAGAAGGGTTGCTCAAGCAGGAAATATCGACGCCTTGTATGCACTGATTCAAGAGAATCCATTCGTTTTGGAAAGCTTTTATGAATTCCCTTATGTTGACACTCCATTACATTTAGCTGCCTTTGAAGGGCACATTGATTTTGCCCTGGAAATGATGACCTTAAAGTCCTCATTTGCAAGAAAGCTAAACCCTGCAGGGCTTAGCCCGCTGCATCTTGCCTTGCTAAATCACCAACCTCTTGTAGTTCGTGAGCTCGTGAGAGTTGATAAAGATCTCATTCGTGTCAAGGGGAGGGGCGGTTTAACCTCTCTGCATTTGGCAACCGAAATAGGAGATCTCGATCTTGTAGCTGAATTTCTTGAGGCTTGTCCCGAATGCATCACGGATGCGACTATTCAAGGTGAGACTGCCATACAAATTGCAGCCAAAAACAATAGCTTTGAAACTCTGGAACTCCTAGTTCGTTGGCTTCAAAAGACCACTCACAAAGATGGTGATGTTTGGAATAAACAAGTTCTGAACAGGAAGAATAAGGAAGGAAACACAGTTCTACACATAGCTGCATCCAATAATAACCCCAAGGTCATTGGCTACTCCCTC